ATCAGCTGGGCGTGGTGGCGCATGCCTGTAATTCTGGCTACTTGGAAGGCTGAGGCGCAAGGATCGCCGGAGCCCAGCAGGTCGAGGCTGTGGTGGCCGGGAGCAGCCACTGCACTCCAGTCTGGGCGACCGAGTGAGAATCCAACTCAAAAAAAAAGAGTGAGGACTTCTGGCTTATTCCTGCTCCTGCTGGGCTGTGTGACCTTGGGCAGGTACTTTACATCTGTACCTTCATTTCCTCTTCTGTAAAACAGATATGAAAACCTTTTCAGTGCTTGCTCTGAGCAGCTCAGAAGAAAGACAGTAGAGAATGTGAGAGGATCTCGTGGTTCTGCCGATGATTATCCAACAAACATCCGGCCCTCTCTACATCTCCTCCTTCTTCCATCTCCTTTCACCCTCTGGCTTACTGTCCGCTCTTGGCATCCCTCTTTCTGGCGCATTTTCCTGAAGCCTCTTAACCCCTACCTCCAGAAGCACCTCGACAATGTCAGTGGCTGAGGCTGCGCTCAGGGGATGACTGCTGGGGGCAGACTGGGTATCTGGAGCTATGGGCCCAGGACCCAGTTTTGGCCATTCAGCTAAGTGAGGCCGAAGGCTGGGTCTGAAAAGGCAGAAAGATGAACACCCAGACAGGGCTACTCTTTTTTTCCCCACAAGAGACACGAACCTGGCTTTTAGGCTGCAGTCCTGCTCCCTTCCTTCTTCTGTCCTCTGTTTCCAACCTTACGAGACGTCTATTCAATTAGCCCTGGCCGCTTCTCTCATTTTTTCCTCCCAGTTTCCAAACAAGCCCTCAGTGAACATCATCGAAGCATGACTGCCTGTCTGCAGGGAGGAGGATTCCATTTTTCTTCTCTGCTGGTCTGCAGGTCGATGGGCACAGAGAGGGACAACTGCAGCAGGGAGGAGAAGGCACACATAGCTGCACAGTTATCCCTCTTCTCCTTGCCCTAGTCTGATGAAGAAGGCTGAACTACAAACCGAAATTCTGCAAAAAATAAAAATAAGCCACAAAACTAAAAGGCCTGGCCCATTCTGGAAAAGGCAAAGCTACACGAGACACAGCCTTCTGCCTCGCCTCTCCTGGAGTGGCTTCCTTTTTGAGAAAATGCACAAAGCTCTGGGAGATGACAAGCACTAAGACTGACTCAAGCTGTGTCTTTCAGACAGAGGAATATCAGGGAAGCTGTGGGGCTGCCTGCCGTGCAGGGTCATTGCTGCCATCAAGCCTTTTCTGGATCTAGCCATCAAGCACATGTTTGTGGTGTGATGCAAGTGTGTAAGATGTTACTTGTTTTGTCTTTTTTGAAAAAATCAAGAGGGCTCCATTCTAGAGAGCAGAGGGATTCCCCCAAGGACTGAGCTGGTTGCCTGCATTGTCTATCTTCTTTGACCCTATTTTTACTGTAAGATCATGAGTTTGGGGTTTTAAGAAGACCTGGAAGGTATTGGTCTCATTTCTTCTCTTGGAGTCTCAGCAGTGCTGGACTGGACAACTGAAAAGGCACATCCACATCCAGCATTCTGGAAGCTACTAAACCACCCACTCTGGAATGGAAGCTACTGGAGAGCAGGCCTGAGCCATTCACCACGGACAGGCAGAGCAGCCCTGGCTGTCACCACTGGCCTCCAGGGTCTTCATATCTTGCCATGTCATCCAGGGTTTTGTGAAAGCTACCCAGGGTCCTCATGTCCTTCCCTAGAGCCTGAGTGGTATTAGGCAACAGGTCTCTTTCTCCACTGCCCCTTTCTGGTAAAAAAAAAAATGGTGCTTGATGAGGGAAGGCAAACTCTTCCCTAGGACTGATGAGTTATGGCTGCCAAATGCCTGCATGGGAAGAGGTGGATCTCTTCATCTTCCATTGGTGGCAAAGGATGGGTATGGGAGGCCTGCGCCTAGCACAAGCCTGGCACACAGTAGGCACTTGGTAAATATTTGTTGAACTGAATGATAGGAGCATTGGCCCCAAGCCAGAGAGCCAAAAGCCATCACTCAATGACCGCCCCTTCCTTCCGGTCTACAAGAGCTCTCAAGGCAGGGTCCGCTACCACTCTGCCCAAGTGAGGCAGCACCGGGGAGAAGAGACAGGAAAAAGGGCAAATGTCAGCAATACTAAGGGCTTCCTCATGGGAGGGCATGAGGCTCCACTCATTGTCTTGTGACTTCCATCCCTGCTGAATGGGGCTGCAAGGCCAAGGCTCCTTAGGGAAGAGGTCCTTACCTCTGATCCAGTTAGAGCAATAACCACTTTTTAAATGTAAAATAAAAAGACAAATGAAAAGGCACATCCTTGTCTTCTGGTAAATGCCCAAATGTTGCCCTCTTTTTCTGGCAATTGGCAGCAAGTCAGGATGTGTGGAGGAGGGAGTCAGTTCTCTCCATTTTGGCCTGCAGCTTCTTAGGGACATGCCTGCCAGCCAAGCTGGAGTTGGAAGGGAAATCTCGAACAGATGGGGGTGCACGTGTAGGAGAAGAAAATAGCTGCTCCACCATCCTATTACTAAGGCTCCCTCAAACCAAGCTTGGGCTGCCTCACTGGATAGGTATGCAGGCTGCTACTCAGTTTTTAACACGAAGAGTTTTCCCCTCTGGATGGGGCTAGGTGCTTTCCCTGGCCAAAGGAATGCAATTTGTGTTTCTCCTCAGGGAAAGGAAGTGAAGAGGAACTGCAAAAGCCTCTTTCTGTAGTTCAGTATCCACAGTGTGCTGTTCTGAGCTGTTAAAGGAACACCATTATGATCTCAACAGCATGCTGAAAGGTAGAATAATGATGTCATTATCCAATGAACAAAAAACAGTAAATGGAGCACCTCAAACATTCGTGCCCATAGCCAGCAAGAGCTTGGAGAAAAAAATGTCAGGTAAGCAGGGCTTAGAGTTGGCTCTTCTAAAGGTTCTGAAAGCAGAGGGAAAGAGGGTCTTTGAGGCTTTATGGGAAAGTAGGAAACTGATGAGCATACAGAACTCTAAGCCAAACCTCAGAGAGGTCCTTCCTAGGCCCTCTGTTCCCATCTAGTACCAAATGATGGAGAAGCCCCCAAGTCAGCATTAGGTATACCATAGCATTAGCTGTCAGTGGGACTCAAGAAGCTCTGCTAATGTGGGTTTTCTGTCTTCAACTTAATCTCTGCCTGTAATACATTGTAAAGGGTAGAGGGGAAAAAAGCAAACGATACACTTCTGGCATAGATCAAACTCCAGTCCCCCCTTCATTACCTTCCTAAACCCCAAATTCGACAGTGATTGAGCTTTTCCCAAATTAACAGTAATTGCAAAGTCGAATGTTATACAGCTAGACTTGGGATGTGTCCTCTCCCCACCACTCGCATAGATCTGCAGAGACTGCTGCAACTGTGGAAGGGCCTTTGGGGGGAATGTTGACTAAAAGGCAGATCTTGCCTTGTAATCACCTAATATCTCAGGAAAGTTCCTTCTCTGAGGATAGGTGTTGGTTTTCTTATCTGTCAAAAAAATGGGATAGAAGATTCCCACAGCCTACTTGCTTCCTAGTATAGAAGTCAAGGGTCATTCCTTCTAGGAGCAGAAGTGAAATCCCAGGGTCTGAGAGAAGACAGACTGATGAGTGTTTCTGTAGTGCAGGAGTCCTTTTCTCCTACTTCTGTCCCCTCAACCCCTAGCTTTTCAGTATGGGCCTTCTCCAGAATCCATTTTTAAGATGTCTAGTTCAACCCCTTACAAAAATATGTAACCTACCAATCCATTCACATGATGTTTTGTTTTTTTGGGGGGGTTGGAGTCTCACTCTGTCACCAGACTGGAGTGTAGTGGCCGCTTCTGGCCACTGTAGCCTCAACCTGCTGGGCTCCGGCGATCCTTCTGCCTCAGTCTTCCAAGTAGCCGGAACTACAGGCACGCGCTACCAGGCCCAGCTAATTTTTTATTTATTGTAGAGATGAGGTCTCGCCAAGTTGCCCAGGTGGGTCTCGAACCCACGGGCTCAGGCAATTCACTCACCTCGCCTCCCAAAGCGCGGGATTACAGGCTGAGCCACCAAGCCCAGCTCACATGTTTTAGCCTTCTACTTTCTTACCCTCTTAAACCTACTTGATACTTCTTGGATTTTGCTTTTAAGTAGCTTCCAAGAACAAACTGCTTCTATAAATGGGACATGCTGCTCACCACCATCTCCTGCCCAGCTCTAGGCCTATCAAAATATTCCCCAAACTCTCAAATGTGGCTTGAAGCTAAGTTGAAGATCTTTGTATACAAATAGTTCCTTAATAATACATTTCAGGACTGTCACTTAGACTGTTTTAAAGGTTATCCAAAAAGATTATATTCTACCCCCATCTAAATGGGTGCTGGGGAGGGCCAGATTTTCTGTCTATGGCATGTCCCAGTTGTCACAGGGGAAGGACAGGTGGAGGAGGAATGACAAAGCAGGAGCTTGTTCATTTAGAAATTCCACCACTGACCAGCTGACACTTCCCATGACAAGTGGAAATTTTTTTTCTGACAGGTGCTCTGGCATACAAAGCAAGCACACACTTGAATTAGCTTAGGAATAATTCTGTTTTGTCTTAGAAAAGCAGGGCAACACTAAGAGAAGCAAGGAATTCTGCTTTCTAGTTTTAAGTTATTGGGTTAGTTCTTCCTATAAAAGCTCAAAATGGGTTGGCTAGAGAATGAACCCATTCCTCTTAGAGAATGGGCTTTTCCTCCTTACTTTTTTCTAACACAAAACAAACAAAAGATCATTTACACCTGATAGGAGCAAAATGGGTATGTATAGGTTAAGAAGAGTACCTCGCCTGAGCTCGGGGTTCGAGACCAGCCTGGACAACTTGGCGAGACCCCGTCTCTACAGTAAATTAAAAAATCAGCCAGACTTGGTGGTGTGTGCCTATAGTTCCAGCTACTTGAAAGGCTGAGTGAGGAGGGAGGATCGCCTGAAACCAGCAGGTTAAGGATGCGGTGGCCCTGAGCATGCTGCTGCACTCCAGTCTGGGTGACAGAGTGAAACTCCAACTCAAAAAAAGAAAGAAAAAAGAAAAAGAAAAAAATTCAAGAGATAGTAAAAAAAAAAAAAAAAAATCCTTAAATGGAGACAAGAATATCAAATTGCTGAATACTTAGCAAACTTATATTGTGTCTTGTGCAGGGTTTCAATATATATTTCAATATATATATATAGTTTCAATATACAAAATATATATTGAAACTAAACAAAACTTATAGGACAGCAGACCACATGGCCTATGCAAACATGTTGCTACTTATTTGCTCAGCATGTGTTGAGATTGTAAAAAGTACTGGCTAATACAGGTGACAAGCTATTATTGCCTTCCCTTTTATCCTTGCTCCTGGGGGTAAGTCTAAGCAGCTTAGGTTCACAAAAGGGATCTAAGGAACACTGTGTCTCCCACACCTACCCACACTTATCCAACCATCACCCAGTTTCTAGGAGAAGCAATTTTTGGAGAAGTTAAGAACAACCATCAATTTTGTACCATCAATTCTGGTTTCTCACATCTCTTTCAAAGAGAGAATGCCCTGGGATAGCATGGCTTCTTCTTAATCAATGGTAGCTCTGGAGAAACAGAGACAGGGAGGCCAACCACACAGCCATGGGAAGGAATGCAAGGCAATGCCTGCCTAACAAGGCTGAGCCATCTTTCCCCTCTGCAAAAACAGAGGAACAATGATATTTCAGGCTCTCCCTATGTCAGGCTCCTGACATGCACCATATGTAGCTGCAAATCCCAATCAATCTCAACATTTCTTAACTGCTAAAATGCCTTTTTCAGCACTGTAATTTACCTTCAAAAGAACAGGGAGTAAGCACCCTCGTCTTCCCAATACTACATTCAACTAATTGCCACCCCCCTCCCATACCCCACTAACCTACCTACGCAAAGGAAGAAGGCAAATAACCTTCCTTCAAGCCCACAACAGACCGCCACAGTACATATGCCACTGACAAGAACTTTTATTTCTTTTTAATGACATTATACACAACTGCTACAAGGGAAAAACATGATAAAGAAGAGGCACCAAACTTCAGTTTCATAATTGATCCTGACAACAATGCAAGTAAATCAGGCCCTGCATTAGATGTGAAACTACAGGTTATTTCAGGCTTTTCACTTACAAGTAAGCTATGTAAACAACACATTTTTACTCTGCTTTGTCAAGACCCTGTGGTGAGAATGTCATCATGGATGAAGAAAACTAGGTAGGCAGTTAAGTGTACATAACCCTTACTCAAATAAAAAAAAAAATACAGCAAAAATTCTACCTGAAATACTAGACTTAGAGGCTGACACCAAATATAAGAGATATACAGCTTTGAAAAGAGCTTAAAACTCCAGATTTTACCCACTACCATCTTTAAGGCAAACATGCCAGATAATGCGTTTTCTTTGGCTTTGTTTTTTATTCTTAAAGAATACCATGTTAACCACTAGAGAACAGCTCTATCCTCCCCCAGTCCAACAGATTTAATTAAGCTGCTAAAGCTTTGGAAAAACAGAATTATTTGAGCTACGAGGAAATGTGATTGTCACATTTTCTAGTTAACCTGTCACTCATTTGATTTGGCAAAGGCAGTGTTCCTATTACACATTCAGTCTTAACCCCCTTTACCAGGAGGGCAGAAACATGAGTCTTAGGTTTTTGCTTAAGCCAAATGCTATCCCCTTCACTTCACTCCTTGAGTTATCTGTGGGGAACTAGACAGCTGCAATGCTAGCTATTCTAGCTACATTTAATTTTAACTACACTATGGTCCCAAAGGTGGATGTTTGGCATGTCTCACACTCCACCAAGCTAATTTAGTGCAGCCTGGAGAAGTGACCAATGTAGTAAATGCCAGTTATACCAACTAAAAGAATATTTTGACTACTGCCTTTGAACAGAATTTCTCCTTTGCATTTTGGCCCCAGAATCTAAACTGAATGTCCAAGGAAAAGTGAATCCTTAACTGAATAAAAAGAGTAAACACTTAGGGACATCCATCCAAATGTATTGGTGGCTTTAATGACCAAGCTTTTCCCAAGTCAGTTTCTAAAGTAGGGTGGGATGTTTAAGATGCTTTACTCACATACAAAGATGAGATTGATGAAACAACAAAATCAGACAGAGGCTACAGCAACTACAAACAACCTTCACAGAGAATGAAAAGCACAAATGCCAGACTTCAAAACTTCCCAAAATGTCTAGCTATCTGTAAAGAGAGAATAATAAACTCCTAAGACATCCATTAAGACAGATGCACAGTCTGTCAACCTTGGTTAGAATACCAGACCTTAAGATCAGGTAATGCTTTTGTGTATAGGATTAGTAACAGCTATATTAGACCCACTCTAGCAGCTATGTGAAACTATGCATCAGGCCCTTGACCAAGAGAGATGGTAAAAACCAGGGTCTAAAGGCACATCTTGTTAACTAATAATGGAGGCAAAAGAGTGCCTCTCCAAAGTCTTTCCCACAGGATGGAAGCTCCCTGGCTAACACCCATACTTGATACTTGCAAATGTCAACTCATACTTAAAGGTGGGGTTCAGCAGATGAAACTGAAGACCAATTAACACCACAATGGCACCGCCCTGTTCTAGAGTCAAGACTCTGAGTGGGCAACTCTTCAATAAAGATGGCAGGGAGGCCATCCTGAAGAGGCATATCTGTGTCTAACACAATATAGAAATACTGCCAGTAGAACCCTAAGGAGCAAAGTAGTCACTGGGGAAAAAAGAAAAAGGAAAAACCTTGAAGAACAGAGGAGACAACCAGTCACAAGACCACAAGGTATTCAACAGCCGTTAGTCATAAGTTTTCGGTCAGAGTTAAGATGTCTAAGGCTTGCAAATACTATTGTGCAAAATAAGTCTAACGAAGAATGAAAAAAGCCTAAAAATAATAAAGGCAGCTAGTAGGTACAGAAAGGAGAGGAGAGGATTTACTATTTTAATTTGTCCTTTCAACAGTGTTTTTCTCCTATTTCACCCTATTTCTAATGACCTGGATTACCAACTTTAAAATATTGACATGTATTCAGAGATTCAAATAAAAAAGTAAAAGGAGTTGTTAAAAGTGACATATTCATTCACATCATCAATAATAATAATTAACACTGGCTCATAGCCTGATAAACAATTTCCTCCTTATTGGAGATTAAAAGATGACTTCTTTTGGGCACCAGAAATAGACCTCACCCCTCTGCAAAAAGGTGTATTTTGCTTGAGCCTGGGTATTTTGGCTTAATGCTGGCTTTCAGGAGGCAGCTACCTTCAATTTAAATAAAAAACAAAAAAACAGTATCAACTTAACACTGCTTAAACACACATAGACACATACACACAAAATCAAGGGGGACCTCATACAAAAAAATTCAAGTCAGCAATGGGCATTTCCAAAAGATAACAAGTTTTTAAAATAAAAATCTTGTGAAAAAGTAAAATTCAAAATCTATAAAGCACAAAACAGCAGAAGAAAATGAGATGCTGCTCTGAGCAGGACCCTGGATAGGGACTGTCATTGCTGATGAGATGAGACAAATGCACTAGAAGTCTGGGAGACGCTGGAACCGATGGTGGCTTCGCATATTCCTGTCAACCCACTGAGTCAGACTGTATCTTTGCAGAGGATTCTGTCGGCGGGCGTAGTTTCTATCAAGAGAGGAGAGTAAAAACAGGAAGGACGTTTCAGCTGGAATAGCTATTTGTACACAAATAAGGCCACCACCACTATTTTAAGACTATTTTTACTTTTGGAAACTGGATATTAATTTTATATTTCGACTCTCACAATTTTAGAAGTTTTATGTTATTTTATGTATATGGAAGTCACATCATAAGTGTTATTTCCTTCCAACTTGCAAAGCCTCCTAAATTCCCACACAGGTCTTGTGTTATATACACAGTGTTCTAAGGAAAACTAATGTTGAATAATGTAAAAAAAAAAATTTCTCCCTCCAGAATTTAGAGCAGGTTTTTCGTTTCATTGTTTGCATCAGACTTGTGCCTCCGACAGGACCTCATTGTCTTCTGACACAGCTCAAGGTTGCACAGGACACAACAGTTAAAATTAGAATAAAATTTCCAGAGAAAGTAAGTCATCATGTGAATATCACACTGCAAGTTTACAGTCTGAAAAACTAATAACACAGATGCAAAGTAAAGTTTCTTGAGACTCCTTTAGTCATATGCTTGGCTGGGGTTCTCATAAAGACCATGAGATTATTTGATTCCATTTTCAACTCCAAAACTGCTTATAATATCAATCTGGGAAGCTTTTCAAAGATATGAATTCTTGGTTCCTCCCTCTTCTGAGATTTAATTACTTAGAATCCCTGGAATCAGGGCTTTGACATCTGTATTTTTAGATATTTCCACAGCTGGCTATGAGGAATAGCCAGGGTTGACAATAATTACAATAGTACCTGATATTTATTTATCCCTAAATGTAAGTAATCGCTGAATTCTTTCAACACTTCATCTCACTTAATGCTAGTGACACTCCTACTAGGAAAGTACAGGCCGAGCTCAGTGGCACAGCCTGTAATCCCGCGCTTTGGGAGGCTGAGGTGAGTGGATTGCCTGAGCCCACAGGTTCAAGACTCGCCTGGGCAACTTGGCAAGACCTCTACAATAAATGAAAAAATCAGCTAGGCGTGGTAGCGCGTGCCTGTAATTCCGGCTACTCGGAAGGCTGAGGCGGAAGGATCGCCGGAGCCCAGCAGGTCAAGGCTGCAGTGGCCGGGAGTGGCCACTGTACTCCAGTCTGGGCGACAGAGTGAGACTCCAACTCAAAAAAAAAAAAGAAAGTACTCTCATTAACTCCTTGCACAGGTAAGGAAACAGCCTAGGTTAAGTAACTTTCCCAAGGTCATACAGTAAAGTAAAAGAGCCTGGATTTGAATTGACATATGACTTCTGAATTTATCTAATAACAATTATACTACACACTTTCCTTCTTAGAAGTGCTATGATTTTTGGCAACTATGGAGGAAACATGACTGTAGAAGCCCTGAAGGGGAGCATGGCTGACATGTTTAAAACAAGAACAGAGTAAGCAAGAGGAAGAGCAGTAGGAGATGAGGTTGGTGAACCTAGGCCAAAGCATATAGGCCTTTATAGGCGATTATGAGGATGAGATGTGAGATGGAAGCCACTGGAAAATACTGAGCAAGTCTGAATTATGCTTTAAAAAATCTTTTTGGCTGCTGAGTTGTGAGCAGTTGACAGGCAAGGGCAGAAGCAAGGAGAACATTTAAGAGACTTGCAACAATTGATGTGAAATGCTCTGGTTGTGAATATAGTCAGTCCTTCACATCTGTGGGTTCCCATCCATGGATTCAACCAACCAAAGATTGAAAATATTAGAGGGGAAAAAAAAAAGAAAGGTTTCATCTATACTGAACATTATCAGTAATAATATGTACAGATTTTTTTCTTGTCATTATTCTCTAAATAGTACAGTATATAAAACAAAAAATGAAACAAAAAAATACAGCATAAGCCGGGCCCGGTGGCTCAGCCTGTAATCCCAGCACTTTGGGAGGCTGAGGTGAGTGGATTGCCTGAGCCCACGGGTTCGAGACCCACCCGGGCAACTTAGCGAGACCTCATCTCTACAATAAATCAAAAATTAGCCAGGCGTGGTAGCGCACACCTGTAGTTCCAGCTACTTGGAAGGCTGAAACTGAAGGATCGCCAGAGCCCAGCAGGTTGAGGCTGCAGTAGCCGGGAACTCAAAAAAAAAAAAAAAATACAGTATAACAACTATATACATAGTATTTATATTATATTAGTTATCAAGTAATCTAGGGACGATTTAAAATATACAGAAGGATGTACATAAGTTAAATGCAAAAACAACAGCATATAAAGGGCTTGAGTATCTGTGGATTTTGGTATCCCCCAAGGGTCCTGGAACCAATCTTGCATAAATACTGAGGACAACTGTATATGTAGGATTTGCTGATGGGGTAAGAGAGAAAGAAGTAAAGAATGATTCCATGGTTTCTGAATTACTGAATCAAAGTAATTGAATAAATTTGTATTAGCCACACTGCATCAAGAATCTAGAAGCTTATTCTATTAAATTTGATTCATAAAAATTAAAGAATACAAAGCTTTCAGCATTAGAAAGTCTCTTTAAACACAAGTAATCCAACATCTTTATTTTACTGATGTGAGAACCAGAGAACATGGTTGGAGTGACTTGGTCAAAACCATAAAGCTGATTAAAAATTACAAAGCAGTCGGCTTGGTGGCTCAGCCTATAATCCCACGCTTTGGGAGGCTGAGGTGAGTGGATTGCCTAAGCCCATGGGTTCGAGACCCACATGGGCAACTTGGTGAGACCTCATCTCTACAATAAATCAAAAAAATTTGCCGGGTGTGGTAACGCACGGCTGTAGTTTCAGCTACTTGGAAGACAGTTGGAAGGATCGCCGGAGTCCAGCAGGTTGAGGCTGCAGTGGCCGCGAGCGGCTACTGCACTCCAGTCTGGGTGACAGAGTGAGACTCCAACTCAAAAAAAAAAAAAAATTACAAAGCTAGCTGAGTGCAGTGGCTCATGCCTGTAATACCAGCACTTTGGGAAGTGAAGGCAAGAGGATTGCCTGAGCCCAGGGGTTCAAGACCAGTTTAGGTAACTTGGAGAGACTTCACTTCTACAATAAATTAAAAAATTTGCAGGGTATGATGGCACATACCTGTAGTTAGTTCCAGCCTTCCAAGTGGAAGGCTGAGACAAAAGAACTGCCTGAGCCCAGCAGGTTGAGGCTATGGTAGCTGTGATCGTACCACTGCACTCCAGCCTGGGTGACAGAGTGAGACTCCAACTCAAAAAAAAATTTCAAAGCTAGTATTAGAGCCCAGGTTTCCTGAATTTCTTTCTTTTTTTTTTTTTCAGTTGGACTCTCAATCTGTTGCCCAAGCTGGAGTGCTGTGGCATGCTCATGACCACCTGAGTTTCAACCAGCTGGGCTCTGGTGATCCTTCCACTTTAGCCTTCCAAGTAGCCATAATTAAAAGTGCACGCTACCACGCCCAGCTAGTTTTTGATTTATTGTAGAGACAAGGTCTCATCAAGTTGCCTGGGCTGGTCTCGAACCCGCAGGCTCAGGTAATCCACTTGCCTTGGCCTCCCAAAGTGCTGAGATTACAGGTTGAGCTACTGAGCCTGGCCATTTCCTGAATTTCAGTCCAGTTTTTATTCCATTATACTACATTACTTTCTTCCCCACTTCTCAATTCCAACACCAAGTTCCCACCACATTATTCTTACAGCCAAATTCTACCCTTTTCCTCTTTCTTCTAATCACCCACTCACCGCGTGGTAAGGTCTGAAGGATGCTGCCATTTTGAGTTCTGCATATGATGAACTTGATCCATCAAGGCATATAGCTCTGTCAAGGTACCTGTGATACAGAGGGATCATTGGTTAGGAAGCAGCTGCATGAACTACTATGTCAGCCAAGGTCAAAGTAGTGCTTTCAGGGAAAGAGAAAACAGGCATTTGTCACAGTAACATCCACTTATGATTATCACAAGCAGTTAGTAAAAAAAAAAAAAAAAAAACAAAACACAACTGCAAACCAGAGTGGGGAGCTTGCCCTTGGATGATAGTGAAGCAATAATGGCAGCCACCATTCATTCATTCAACATTTATTACCTCCTACAATGTGTGGGAAAGTTTACCAGTCCCTAGGAATATGGCAGTGAACAAGATATTGAGGAGACAGATGATTCCAAAATGGTGTGATAAGTTCAGTGACAGGAAAAATACAGACTGCTATAGAGATTAGCAGGAATCTAAAGGATTTATAAAATTAGTGAGGTAAGGAAGGATAGGAAGTTGGCTGTCCAAGAGAAATAGTCAATACAAAGGCCCAGAGACAAATGAAAGCAAATACATTAAAAAGAGTTTAGAACAGATGGAAATGGGCGTTTCTTGTTAACAAGAAAAACTGCTAGAGGCAATTTCTCAAACACCTGAGAGCCTGGCAATGTACTAGGCATTTTACATGTTATTTTATTTAATTCTAAAAAAAAATCTTATATAGAGATAGATGTTGTTAACATCATTTCAGAGATGGGAAACTGGCTGGGAAGTGAACTTGTGTTACATGCTTAATAACCCAGGGTTCAACTAGCTTCTGTGTGACCATGCTCTTGCCACTATGCAATAATGCTAACTTTGCATTTAAGGGCCAATACTTAGACTGAAACCCAAAAGACGCAGAAATAAAACACTAGTTAGGGCATAATTTTCCTAGACCAGTGGTTCTCAGATTTTTTTTTTTTTTTTTTGAGTTGGAGTCTCACTCTGTCGCCCAGACTGGAGTGCAGTGGCCGCTCCCGGCCACCGCAGCCTCGACCTGCTGGGCTCCGGCGATCCTTCCGCCTCAGCCTTCCGAGTAGCCAGAATTACAGGCATGCGCTACCATGCCCGGCTGATTTTTTGATTTATTGTAGAGATGAGGTCTCACTGCCCAGGGA